CTACCCAAAGGACGAACAGATCTGCCCAAGAAGAAGTGCAGCCACAGTGCTCCGTGGAAGGCAGCAGTGGTGAGACTCTGTCTCACCTCCATTGGCCACGTTGTCAGGAGAGAGCAGGCCTTGGGGAAGGGCATCGTGCTTGGTAAAAGTAGAAGGGTGGCGAAAAGGGAGGGTGGACCTAGGCAGGAGGGTGGACACAGCGGCGGCCACAACCGGGCCAAGCAGAGCAGCTGTGGCGAGGATGGCGCGGGACCCAGCAGCCTTTCCTTCTGTTGGACAGAGGGCTGCTGTGAGTCCAGCCGACTCGGGGTAACGAACAACACGGCGCCAACCAGCCCCAGCCACGGCTCAGCAAGGAGCAGTGGGAAGCGCTGGCCGGGAGGACGTGTGAGGGGAAGACGTTTGCGTTGCTCCTGTCAGGACAGGTACACCTGGTTGCGCTGTGTTTTGCACCATGGGGCTTTGCAGATATCGCCCCCCCCCCACTTTGAAGACAAACCGGAGGCCTGTGACAACCCTCCCTTGAGCAAGACTATCAAGGACATCTTTCCAACAGCTGTGTCACACTATTGCTCACTCCTGTACTGTTTCAAATTTTCTCAGAATCCTATTGCACTCCCAGGGAGTGAATCTCAGTGCGGCATTCACTTCTTGTGGAGGGTCTAGAATCAAGTCCACACGATCTCCCAGGTATGCCTGTCGAAATGCTGATGTTAGACATTGCCATTTTAGAACACACTTTTTAAATTTACATCTGTTAAAAAGTCCAGAGTCTGCCAGAAAATCAAACAACTCTATTGTGGTATAGTTACATAATGCCGTGTCATCTTGCAGATATAGACGTGTGGGGCAGAGTCCAGCCTGTCAGTCAGGTCACAGCCTGATGGTGCTTCCTTGTGGGTCTGGCCTTCTTCTCCTGAGGAGGGTCCTGGGAACCTCCCCGCCCCGCCTCTCTGCCTTCACATTCCTGTTGATGAGCCACACTGAGCCCTGCAAGAGCTCTGTGATGCTTCCATTGCCATTGGATCCACAAGACTTTTCACCCACCAGCCTGTGATTTTCCTGCATTGCTTCATTGCATGTGGCCGTGTGAGTCTGAAGAGGGGCTTATGGACTAGGATCGGACTTATGGACTTGATCTGGACTGGGCTGGGATGTTTTCTCGATATACAATTACTCTTTGATCTAAAGCATATATATATGAGTGTCTCTGGGTTTGTTTCTCTAGTCAACCACGCCTAACGCACGTGTGCTGGAAGAGGGGCAGCTAGAATTTCCCCTGAAGCAGGACACCAGTCCCCGCAGAAGAACATCATGCTTGGTAAAATAGAGGGACAGCAAAGTAAGAAGACCCTCAGTGCAATGGATTGACACCACGAGTGTCTCCTTGGGCTCAACCATTGCAGTTGCTGCGACAGTGGCGCAGGACCAGATAGCATTTTGTTCTGACGTCCACCGATTGGGTTGCTGTGAATCAGAACCAGCTTGCAAGTGCCCAACAACAACTGTTAGAGGATGAGTGCCGCCCCCAACACGAGCGAGGGGGGAAATGAGTGATAACGAAAATATAGCCGATACCACGCAATAGGCAAGAGCAAAACAGAAAAAGAGATGAGAGTAAATGATAGCACGTGCCAAATAAAATAAAGTAAAATAAATGGTAGGAGGGTGGGGGTATCCAAACCTGTCAATCACCGTAAGTGGAGACAGATGTAACTTGACAGTAAAAAGGGAAAGCGCTCATTTTGGAATTTTAAGCCTCCATATTACCTGCTATCGTCTGAGCAACACATCCAAAGAAAGACAACAAAAGAGAGAGGAAAAGGTTGGCAGAGATTCACTGATAAACACTAATCAAGAGAAAACAGTGGGGGCTGTTTTCATCTCTGACAAAATAGACCAAACGAAGGCCTCGTGGAGATGCCAGAGTTATTGTATAGTGACGGTGAGAGCACTTGACCAAGAAGACGAGACAAATGTGTGTTTCTCGTGTGTGTCCAAGGAGACATGTACGCAACAGAGATTGCGTAGCATCGACGTGTTCAAGACACATTTCATAGTATTGGCATGCACGTAACGCATGTGCCATTGGGGTCTCCAAAGTGCCTGCTGTTGTCTCTTGTGCTCTGCTCCACTGGGACTTGAGCCCCGGTGGTGCAGTGGTTATGAGTTGGGCTGCTAATGCCAGAGGCAGCAGTTCAAGACCAGCAGCCACTCCATGGGAGAAAGACAAGGCTTTCTACTCCCATGAGAGCTACAGTCTGGGAAAAACCACAGGGGCAGTTCTTCTGTAGCCCATGGGGCTGCTATGAGTCAGAATTGACTCAAGGGCAGCGAATTTGGCTTCCGGTGTGGTGTATTCAGAAGGAGCCTTGGTAGCATAGTGGTTACACGTTGGGCTGCTAGCTGAAAAGTCATCAGTTCAAAACCACCAGCCGCTCCACCGGAGAAAGATGAGGCTTTTGAGTTAGGTGTGCTCAGGAATCGTCCCTGATCTCTGACTGGCATACCTTTTAACAGCACCAAGCCTGGTGCCCTTTATCTCGAGCATGCTCCCACGGTAGTCTCCAAGAATGCGGTCATTCTGATGAGTCACTCTGATGTGGGGACTGTTTACCAATTACCAGTGCCCACCACAAAGTTTATGAAAGAAACGCAAACACCACACTCACTCCCGTTGAGTTGGCTCTGACTCACAGAGAACCTATTGGACACAGTAGAACTGCGCCGGTGGGTTTTAGTCAAGATTGGAACTCTTTACAGGAGTAGGAAGCCTCATCTTTCTCTTAAGGAGTGGCTGGTGGTTTTGATCTACTGACCTCATGGAGCCAGCCCAACACATCACCGCATGCTGTCAGGGGGCGCCTCACTCACTCATTGCCTTGAAGTCACATCTGACTTGCTCTGATCCTTGCAGAGGGTAGAACTGCCCTGTGGCTTCTGAGACTGGAACGCCCCACTAGGGAAGAAAGTCTCCTCTTTCTCTTGAGGACCGGGCTGGTGATTTTCAACTGCAGACCCTGCGGGTAGCGCCCGACCACAGAACTACTGTGCCACCAGGGCTCCCTACACGTCCCGTGAATGCCTGCTGAGTGAATGGCCTTGTGCTCATGCATCAGCACGCTCCTGCGGAGCCCTAGGAAGCCAGCAGGAAGGTGCTCAGGATATGCAGTTCCATCTGAAAAGCGCAATGTGAAACGGCAGCCGTACTTAGGTCACGGATATGGACATGTTACCCACGCGTGTGGCCATAGAAGGAACGAGGGCATGGAAAAGTGGAAATGGTAAGTTTGCTAGGTAAGATGGGCGGTGGCTTTTCACCATGATTTCACGACTCTTCGTTCTTTCTATGAACACATCCTGCGGATGGTTTTGAAAAGGAAATCAAAAGGATGGCTAGCCAATGCTAGCTCCCTCAGAGAGTTCTCCCTGCAACGGTTCATGGGCACCACACCTGGGCACCGAGGGCCAAGTGCCCTAGCCCCACAGCCATGCTCCACGTGGTACGGAAAGCCATTCTGTGGGCATGCAGGATGTTGGGAAGCCAAAGGGATGTGACGGGAATTGGGTCAGCAAGCTGCCTCCGTCTGAGGACGTTTTCTACCAAGCTCCTGTGGGTAGGAAACCCAGTCCGCCGCCGAGGCTGTGGCCTCTATGTTCCACGTAAGGAGTTGGGGCTCCCTGGAGAAATAGTTGAGTCCAGATCTGGGGGAGACATAGACAAGGTAGGCCTGGAGCAGCTACCTCGTCAGACCAGAAAGAAAGGTATCCAGGACACCGAGGCTGACATCAACAGGAGCCAGGAGCCAACTTACCACGCCCCGCACGGGCCACCAATCAGGAAGAACGATGTTGGCAGTGCGTCTGAACCGCATTGAGGGTAGTTCATTTCAAAACACGCTGTTTTCTACAGCAAAGAAATAAAGGCTCATTTTTGGAAGATTCTAGGGCACCGGTTCATTCTTCTGAAAAGTGGGAGACGAGGGGAGTCAAAGGATAGGCCGCCTTTCCGATGCTGACTGTGGGTCCAAGTGACCAAAGCGTCCGTGAGGGGGAGTCTTTCGATGAGGCGTGTTTCCGCTTATCAAAGCAGAGGTGGCAGGAATAGAACATGGCCCCTCTGGGCCTGCCAGCGCAGTGATGGGTGCAGGTGTGGTGGGCAATGGTTGCTGCCGGCATGGAGAGGGGCGGCCAGTCAACAGAGCTTCCTGAGGAAGGCCAGCCAACACCGGAGAAGCATTCTCACTGCACACACTGAAGGCGCACATGTGTGTGTGTGTGTGTGTGTGTGTGTGTTGAATGATCCATGTCTGGGTGACAGGGTGCAGGAGCGGGGAGAGAGGGGGCCAGGTTAAAGGTCACTCTGGTTGGCAGTCGATCAAATCCAGGTTGTCTGAGAGTCTTCCAATAAGCAATCTGGGCGTCTTTGATAAACGCCTCAAGAGGGGAGAGGGGCAATTCAATCCAAGTGGGCCTGGAGGTTAAAAAAAGTGTGGAGACAAATGGACGGAGGGCCACATCTGGAGCTTAGCTGGCTATTGCTTTGAGTAAGCTAGAAGACAAAACATGGGGCCATCCTGGACATCTGAACCCCGATGAACGACTTACGAACCTTCGGGATCATTGGCTCAGCTGTGGCGATGGTACTTCTGCCAGTTTTTCCCTTCTCGTCTCGAGAGGCACACTGACAGCTTTTTGTTTTGTTTTGTTTTCCGGTGAAATGATGCCAGGGGTCTGCTTCCAAATTACCTGGGGTCGGTGCAAGGTGGGCAGGGATAAGAAGGCAGGCCGCCGGACGGGCCATAATGTGATCCTTGTTGACGCAGGTGGTGGGGACACTGATCTCCATTGCATGAGTCTCTCTCTCTACCTGTTTGCTTGGGACGTTCCATACTGAAAGATCTAAAGGGAACCTTAATGAAAAATGAATGAGGCCTATTCTCACGGCTGACGTTTCGGGGAGGGGGTGGCGGATGTCAAGGAACCACAGCGGCTCTCACCTTTTCATTAGCTGGAGGAAAGGCCGTCTTGGGAGGCGGCACACAAAGGTGTCGAGGACCGTCTTGAGGTAGTTCAAAGACACGAAGCCGCTGTGGGTGGTGTCCCCGGCACTCAGGCTCTTCTCCAGCCTCTCATAGGACTTCCGAATCTGCCAGGGGTTGGCACGAGAGGGATGAGGTGAAAACCCACGGCCTGCAGCTACCCGGCTATTTTGTCTCTACCTAAAACCAAAAAAATCCTAACAAACAAAATAAAACCTCACACTTTCCTCTGGGGGTTCGCGGGGTGGGGGGTGGGGGCGTGGATGAAGCGATCAGAAAGATCCTGCTGGCAGGTACTCAACTTCAAATGTTTAATTGATGAGCTTGCTACAAAACCTGATTCCCAGTCCCAGCCCCTCGACTGACAAGGCAGACAATGTCTCAGGAAACACACACACACACACACACACACACACACACACACACACACGCTCTACCTCACATTTCGAGCTAAAAATACTTGCTGGATCTGCCAGTGTGATGCATCTTTCTTAATATACATGCAAGCCGCTCCTACTGTGAGCCCACGCCACGCTTCTCCGGAGGAAATCGGGTCAGCCCGAGACGAAGCTGGGACGTTAGATGAAAACACGCAAGTGGTCCCTCCAGGTGGGAGAGGGATCCGTCCTGAGATGGCAGGAGCGGAGCCCACAGGGGGCGCCCCTTTGCTTGTCTGTCGGTCTGCTCCAGATGGGACAGCACAAAGGCCCCTGCTGGCTGGTGACTTATGGGGCTGATGCTTATGGGATGCACGGAGCTGTAGAGTAGGTGAGCCACTGATTTCCATGTGACTCGTGAAATCACTGCCAAGCGGAGCTCTCCTTCAGGGCTCGCCCGCTGTTGGGCTGTTGGCTACTGAGCGGTAGCGATGCTCTCCGAGGTTTTCAACCCTCCCCACTTCCCTTGAATCCAGTGTTTCCTGCCCACGGGGCTAAGAATGAAATAACCCACAGCTTGATGTGAAAACCCCAGTCCAAACGCCCCGCTGTGGAGTCAATTCCGACTCTCACAGCGACCCCCCAGGGAGAGTAGAACTGCTCTGGGGGCAGGTTCTGAGACTGTAACTCTTTGTGGGAGTAGAGAGCCTCATTGTTCTCCTTTGGAGTAGCTGGTGGTTTCGAACTGCTGGCCTTGCGGTTAGCAGCCCAATGCATAACCAATGTACCACCAGGGCTCTTTGATGGTGTAAAAGAATCCTTAGAAAGGCGAGGCGGGGTGGGGTTGGACTCCCCAGGAGAGGACTATGAAGAGATACAGTCATTTGCCCTTGGGTGTGCAGGAATATTAGACATCTACAGAGGGAACCTGTTGGCATATTCGGAAAAGCACAAGCCTGGAGCCGCTTGGAAAATGGGACAAGCATTAACCCTACGTGTGCCTCATTTCCCCGTTTGTCTTTCGGGGGTGTGGTTGCTTCCCTGCTCAGAGGAAGGCGGGCCTGGGGGAGGGCAGGGCTAGCTGCTGTCGAGGTGGCCCTGAGTCAGGGTGTCCTCAGATGTGCAGAGCGGAACTGCCCCACTGGGTTTTCACAGCCATGACTCTTCAGAAGTAGATGGCCAGGGAGTGGGTTTGAACCACCAGCCTTTAGGCTAGTGGTGGACCGCAACATCATCTGATTGCACCTGGGTATTTGGTTAGGAGCACCAGTGATGTCACGCTTACGTGTGGGGACACTGACAGCAAGGCCAGCAGTTGGCATCCACCAGCGACCTTGAGGGAGAAAGATGGGGTTTTCTGCTCCCCCACCGCGTGGCAGTCTGGGGAACTCACTGGGGCAGCTCTAGTCTGTCCTAGGGGGTCGCTATGAGTCGGCATCGACTCAAAGGCGGTGCGGTTATTGACGTGATTAGGGCATGTTCGTGGTGCTGTGGGTTGGGCGTTGGGACTGCTAACCGGAAGGTCAGAGGTTCAAACCCTTCAGAGAAAGATGAGGCTATTTTCGCCCATTCAGATTTACTGTCTGGGAACTCCTATATAGGGGACCTCTATGAGCTGGCATCGACACGGTGGCAGAGAATTTATTATTATTAGATTCAGGTAATCCATTTTAAAAATCTGGTCTCCCATCGGGGGTCTGTTGTTGCTTTGGGTTTTGTCTGTTCGGGGAGAGTTTCTGGCGTGCTCAGGAGCGGTTACAACCAGAGGCTGGAAGAACTCCGGCGCAGCCCCGGGGGCAGGGGTGACCTCAGAGGCAGTGTCGCTGACTGCTGTGAGGGCAGCATGGGCCTCGGGCCTCGGGCCTCGGGCCTCAGGAAAGGGGACGAAGAAAAGCAGAAGCTTCCTCCGAGTCTCCCAGCCACGGGTCTGTGCGCCGCTTTTCAAAAACTGCCAACATGATCGGCTGAACGTATAATTTGACAAAAATGGAATGCTGTGGCGTTCCTTTGACATGTGCAGTTTCTCCTGTAACAACGTGTCAGCGACATTCCTCCCCCGCCCCCCACCCCCACCCCCACCCCCACACAGGATTTGGACGTGTCTACCTCTACCTCATTCTCTGCAAGGATGCCTGGGGCGCCCTCATAGGGCCGAGGGACCAGCAGTGGGCACCTGCCTTCCTCCACGTTTACACCAGAGTTCAGAAACGATTGCCTCCATCCAGCGGAGAAGCGTGGCTCTGAGAAAACAGCTAAGCGCTCAGCGACTCCCATAAAGGTTGCTGGTTCGAGCCCACCCAGAGATGCTTGGGAAGAGGGTCCTGGTGATCCGTTTCTAAAACAGTGGTTTTCCACCTTCCTCATGCCTCGACCCTTTCATACAGTTCCTCTTGTGGTGGCGACCCCCACAACCATAAAATGATTTTCGTTACTACTTCATAACTGTCATTTTGCTACTGTGATGAATTGGGCGACCCCTGTGAAAGGGTCGTTCGACCCCCACAGGGGTCTCGACCCATAGGCTGAGAACTGCTGTTCTAAAAGGTCGCAGCCATGAAAGGTCAACGGGGTAGTTCTACTCTACATGTTCAGGACCCCCGGTGGGGGAGTGGTTTAAGTGTTGGGCTGCTAACCTCAAGGTCAACAGTTTGAAACCACAAGATGCTCCACAGGAGAAAGCTGAGGCTTTCTACTCCCATAAAGAATCACAGGCTTGGAAATTCACAAGGGCAGTGCTACCCTGTCCTGGAGGGTTGCTATGAGTTAGCAGGGACGCGATGGCAGTGAGTTTTTGACTCTACAAGTTGGACTTGGCTTGGTGGCAGCTAACTGCCACCACAGTTAACACACAGAGGGCTTCCTGCTCTGGGTTGGTGCGGCTCTGTGCAAATTCGACTTGAAGACAGACAGGCAGGCGTAAGACGGGGATTTGTTCCGAGTCTTGGGGCTTCCTGTATTTGCAACCACAGGAAGGAAGAGCTGCCGGGGGCATCTGTACACACACATACCTCTTGGGACTTCGTTTCTGGGATTGGAGGCTTCGGGTCATGGTTAATTATTGGCAACTCAGTTTATTGAACTAATACTGGTTTAGAGCTTCTGTTCTCCCTCCTACTTCACTGTGTGATGCCTGGGGTCTTCCCACGCTTACCAGCGGCCACCCCAGACACAGCAATGGGTGTCTCTGTTCAGCTGGAACGACAGAGGACGGAGAGTCCAAAATAGAAGGCAGAAATGGAATTGGGTGGTGCCCGAAATCACACAATGTTCGGATCCAGAGTCTACGGAGAATAGTGCTCAACAAGAGGAGAGGGTGGTGTGTGCAGAAGAGAGCTTAAAACTCTCACGGGATCCAGACTTTGTGGGATGACTCAGACTGGATGATGCACATCCAACATCGTTACCCCGCGATCACAGAGGCTTTTCTCCCAGAAACCTCTCTTTGAGAGACTTCTTCAAACCAGACCGTAGTTTAGCGTCACTAGTAAGACTCTCTGCCTCGGGTGCTGGGTCCTTTCTTGGTCTCTCCCCCGTGTGGGGATCTAACCAGCGAGGGCAGCTCCAGCGATTCGGTGGGATTCGGGGAGGTGGTGTGTTTCCATTGATGGGGAGGCGGGACTGGAGAAAAGGAGGGGAAAAGGGCCAAACAGCTTCAAAAGCACAAACCAAGGCCGCTGAATGGCGTGTGTGCAGCCAGTGTTGTGTGGGTATTGCTCGGCCGGGCAGATTCTCAGCCACCATCGAACCACACGTGCTAAGAACATGAAACTGGGTGCGTTCTGCATCCCCTCTTGTAGCTGTCTGTACTAGACTCAGCATGGGGGCAGCACCGGGAGGTGCGTGGCCGCTGCTGTGTCACCACAGCCATCGTCAGGGCACTGCTGTGACGCCCAGATAGAGGAGGCCTCAGGCTCTCGGAGAGGCAGGTCAGACCCCAGCCCATCTTGTCACCGCATCTGGACCCACTGCGTCGACGCCGCTGTGGGGCGGCACCGGGGGAAATCCCCCTGGCGTGCAGTCGGGAGGTGCTCCTACCTCTTGGCAAAAGGTCCTCTGGATTTCGTCTAAGGAGCAGTTTTCCACCATGTCTTCAGATAATTCCGAAATGGGAGAGTACTTCCTACTGGAATGTTTGACTTGTTGGTTGTTCCTTGAGACCGCTACAAAACAAAAGAGCGCCCTTCAGTGTGTCAGCACGGCTGAGCGTAATACTATCACTCGGAGGCTGACACGCGGGGCAAAGTAGACTGTGTGCCAGGCTCCCCGATACTATGCATCTTTCCAGGAGCAGATAGCCTCCTCTATTCCCTGCTGGTGGGTTTGAACTGCCAACCTTGTGGTGAGCAGCCCTACACTTGTCCCAAAGTGCCACCAGGGTTGCTTAACCTTGCCAAAGGTGCATTTAAATCTGAAGTGTTGTGTTGGTTGGGTTTTTTTTTTCCCCATCAATACCTGCCTGGTAAATATCAAGGTAAGAGTCAGCCAAGCAAACTCTAAGCCATCTATTAATTACTCTTACAGTAACCCAATGATCATACTGGAAAATATAAAGTTAATCTCCTACTTGCTATCTTATTCTAGGGTAAATCCAAGGTAAGGTGAAAGTATATTAAGTGGAATATACACAGAATAATGCAACTCTCAAACTCCCTGACATCATCAAGTCAATGCTGGCTCATAGCAACCCTACAGGACAAGGTAGAACTGCCCTCGGGGGTTTCCATGATTGTAATGCTTTGCATGAGGTAAATCTGCTACACAAACCTCTTTTCGAGTTTTTCAAAAGTGAATATGCTACTTTGAGGACAAAGGTGCGCCTGACCCAAGCCATGGTATTTCCCATTGCCTCGTATGCCTGTGGAAGTTGGGCAGTAAATATAGAAGACCCGAGAAGAATGGATGCACTTGAATTAAGGTGCTGGAGAAGAATATCCAAAGTACCAGGACTGCTAAAAGGACACATCAGTCTGTCTTGGAAGAAGTGCAGCCTGAGGGCTCCTTACAGGTATGGGTGGCAAGACTTGGTCTGACACACTTTGGACATGTTGTCAGGAGAGACCAGTCCCTGGAGAAGGACATCCTGCTTGGTCAGGTGGAGGGGTAGCAGAAAAGAGGAAGGCATGGCTGCAGCAGTGGGCTCAGGCACAGGAACCATGGCAAGGATAGCCCCCGACTGGGCAGGGTTTCCTTCTGCTGCGCACAGGGTCGCTATGGGTCAGAGCCAACTGGATGGCACCTCACAGCAGCACGGCTCTTTACAGGAGAAGAAACCCTCGTCTTTCTCCTGCGGAGCAGCTAGTGGTTTCGGACTGCTGACTTTGACGTCCGAGCAGTCCAACATGAAAGTAATGTTACATAATAAGTGTTATGCTCTACATAATATTATTCTAAGAAGGTGACCCAAGGAAAACATGAAGGCCAGAAATTATGTAAGTGATCAATAACAAACCAAAAACAAACATCGACTAACTCCAAGATAGAATTGCTAGATATTAAATAGATTATACGTCGGAAAATGAAATGATAAAATGCTCAAAGTCCTTGCCATCAGGTCAGTACTGACTGAACAGGGACCCTGCAGGACAGAGTAGAACTGCACTGAGTCCCTAAGACTAGACCTCTTTTTTTTAATAATGGTTTTATTGGCACTTCATTGACAAATCATACAATTCAGTAGTTCAATCATATGAGGAAGAGCTGTACAATCATCACTACAGTCCATTTTAGACCACTTTCTTCTTCCTTATACTCATCATTAGTCATGTAATGATTTTTTAAATGGTGTCAAAAATATACACAACAAATCATTCTCCAGTCCAACAACTTCTGCATGTGTAACTCAGTACCACTGATTATACTCTTCAAGTTCTACAACCATTATTGAGCTCCTGTTCCAATTATTCCACCACCACTAACACAAACTCAATGCCCCCAAGCAAAAGATCTTCCTCCTTCACCCAGGGTAACCATCGGTCAGCCTTTCTTTCTTAGTAGTGTTCTTGATACAGTAGGCACATGTCATACACTTCCATAGTTAGATTGCTTTTCACAAAAGGTTCCGTCTGCATCGTCACAATCAGTCTGGCGCTCCCTCCCCACTCCTGTCTTCGTTGCTTGCTCCTCATTTCCGCTTACACAGCCCCACCCTGTGCCCATGAACAGTTGTCTAAATTATTGTCTCTATGCATCCGGTCCTCTGGGCTTCACAGCCTGCAAAACCTAAGAGAAACAATAAAGAACAAAAACAAAATGAAACACAAAGAAGAAAATAAGAGTAATAAGATAAAATAGAAATAAGGAATAAGAAAGAAAAGACCACCAACAATATTAGGGGGGAAAAAAGAAGAGGAAATTCATGTCATGGAACAAGTGACAGATATTTGAGCCTAGAGCAAATTCCGGTTGGGTCAAGAGGGAGGTCAACTAACCAAGTATCATATTATACCACGGTTTGATCCATCATTATCAAGTTTACAGTAATCCCTGTCTGACAGTAAAGCTGTCTGAGTCCCTTGCCTGTGGCCAGAGGGGGTCTGACAGAGGCTTCATCTGACTAGAACGTCTGCAGATGAGTTTTGGACCCCATAGCCTTCTACAAATTGAGTTGTCACAGTTTAGGCTTTGTTACTTTTCCCTGCATCATAGTTGGATTTTATTATTTTCATGTTGGATCACACAGGCTGCTGTGCTGCTTCCTTGTGGGCTTAGTTGACTCCTCATTTAGATGGCTGTTTGTTTGAATACAAGCCTTTAAGACCCCAGACACGCTTCTGATTGATAGCTGGGCACCACCTACTTTCTTCCCCACACTTTGCTGTAGCACCTCCATCTTCGGTGATCATTTCATGAAGGCGAGGATGGACCAGAGCCCTGTTATAAGAACCAACTGTTCTTGGGCTGAGGCTAGAATTCAATGGGAGCCGAGAATCCATCTGCATGTCGAGGGGTAATTAATGACTCTGGTTTACTTTGGCAGTCATGTTACAAGGACAAGAAGGAACAACAACTAAAAAAGTGAGACTATAACTTGTTACAGGAGTAGAAAGTCTCATCTTTCTCCCAAGCAGCAGCTGGTGGTTTTGAACTGCTGGTCATGCAGATGGCAGCCTCCTGGTAATCACTATGACACCAGGGCTCCCGAGGTCACCAATAGATGCGATAATACAGATATTGAATTTTGGTTTAGTTTTTCAAAAAGCACACAAACAACACTGAAATAAAAATTAGTGTGAAACTGCTGTTAATATATGTGAAGAATATAGGTAAACATTTATCATATAATGAGCAGTTCTTACGAATCAACAAGATAAATCTAAGGATCCCTAATGGCATTGCCTGGTAAGCTTTGAGCTGCTAACTGAAAGGTTGGTGGTTCAAATCCACCAGCTACTCAGAGGGAAGAATATGGAGCTCTCTGTTCCCATAAAGACTTGTCACCTCGGACACACAATATAAGGTCGCCATGAGTCAGAAGTGACTCAGTGGCAGTGGGTTTAAATATAAGTATCCAAGTATGAACGTAGGCCACAGTCATCAATAGGCAATCCACCCAAAATCCAATCCATGTATAAAAAGCTGCTCAAACTCCCTGGGGGAGGTGAAAAAGTCCTATCACAATAAGTCTGCATTTTTCACTTCTCAAGGGGACAAGGATTGAAGAAAAGGCGAAGAGCCAGGTCTGGTTCCTCTCTCGAAAACCTGGTACTCAGATGCTCTCAAATCTCTGGAACATTACATGGTGGATGATGGCACCTCCCAATCAGGCTTATGGATTAGGGTGCGCTCTACCCTATTTACAGATGGGAAAAATTAAAACAATCTGAAGGTCCATTAATAGAGTGGGTTTTACAAATATGGTTCATCCAATCTATGAAATATCATATAGACATTAAAAATAAATGTGCATGCCTAAGTCTATGGGCATGAACATTTCCATTTATATATGTGTATAGTTTTGTGATTAAAGGATAATGAACATAATTCAATTTTCATTTTAACACTCATTTTGTACATCTATCCACCTATCCATCCACCCACCCACCCATTCATCTATTCATCCATCCATCTACCTATCCATCCATCTATCCACTCATTTATCCATCCATTCATTCATCTGTCCATCCATCCATCCACTCATCTATCTATCCACTCATCCGTCCATCCATCCATTCATCTGTCCATTCATCCATCCACTCATCTATCTATCCTCTCATCCATCCATCCGTCCGTCCATCCGTCCATCCATCCGTCCGTCCATCCATCCATCCATCCATCCATGCATCAGGAAAAATAACTAGGAGGTTACTACACCGGGAAAAATGCCAGGGAGGACTCAGGTGGATGCATGGGAGGGAGTTGTTATATTGTGTTTCCTGGTTTTGTTTTTTTCTTCAACAAGCATATATGACTATCACAATAAAAGAGAATAAAATAGACCTAAAATGTATTTTCCTTCTCAAGTCAACGGCAAAACCACAAATGGTTTCGCAGATTTATTTCCTAAAATGTCTGCAAATAAGCTGCAGTCAAATTCAGCACACTTAGAACCACTCAGCTGCAGTGAGCAAACTGTCAGTCATCTGGGATTCTGGTTAGAAGTCTTCCCCGTACGCCCCCTGGGCGGTGAGCATAATTAAACGCAAAGCCAGTCTTTTAGCACCTGCTCTGGGATTCTCTGGCCTCAGCGAGCTGGAACTTAGGCCAGACAGTTGCAGGGGACTTCCGGGAGGGCCTAAAAGGCCCTTGCTGACCAAGGAGGAGGAGGAGGCTCTATCACAAGACCAAGGACCAGGGTTCTGGCAGGTGAAGCGCAGCAAGACCCAGGCACAGGATTTCCATACACTGTCCTTTGTCACTTTGCTCTGGGGCGCTAGCCCTCAAATGAGGACTCATAAGAACACACACACACACACACACACACACACACACACACACACACACGGAAGCCCGTGCTTGCCCTTTTCAAACAGCCAGCCCGGCTCAGAGGTTAGAGACGTGATAAGATCCGAGGCCTGTCCTGGCACGTCACAGCCCAGGAACTCATGGCCCATGTGGAGTTGTTACAACAAGCGGTGTTGGTGGGGTGGCGCTGAGCAGCCCCACAGGACAGGGTCTGACTGCCGCAGGGGGGTTTTAGCCAGAAGTCTGGGAGGGTCCAGGT